CTAGAATACTAGGCTAACTAGGTAGGTTCACTCTAGCTTTGTCTGATCACAGGTTTACTTTGGTCACCTTAGAGTCAAAGTCAACAATACTTAGGTCAAAGGCATCCTAGAGTTTTCTAGGCAACTAGATAAGGTGCCTATGGATGCTGACATAGTTTGGGTTATAGATTGCATTATGTCCTTTAGGAATGATTTTACTATGATACAGGCTTGAGCAATGTTTAGTCAAAAGATCAATCAGGACGTCCTCCTTAAGATCCATAGAATTTATGTAAGGTCAATTAGTCTTTAGTGGATTCAAAAGGTCTACTGACAACCTAAGGTCGATTGGGTTCTTAGCGGCTTCAAGGAATTTATAAGTGTTGTAGATATTAAATCAACATAAGATCATTGAATACATTATTGTCTCCATTTCAACCAACATAAAGCTGACCATACAGGCTGTTTATCCTCTTTTTTTTAAATGTTAAAAGCTGATATTTTATTATAACGAATTAGTTAGTGAACAAAATGCTGAGTCCTTGTCAGCGTTCTGCGCAGTTTGTACAAAATGGAAGGCGGTGGGGCATGAATAATTTGCCTCTTGGTCTTTCTGCTTCATCTAATCCACAAGGGATGGAGCAGCTCAGTAGCAGGCTCGCTGCAGCTCCACTACAGCAACAGAAACAGATGCTCGGCGAACGCCTATTCCCATTGGTCCAGAAACTCAAGGTCATCCTTTAATTGAGCCTTTTGATTTTGCAAGCTATTACAACACTTGTTTTTTTTTTTGGGACATTTAGGCCATTTAAGGCAAACTCACACACACAAAACATACACAGAGACTCGAACCTTAGACCTCTTAGTTGAAAGCCTTAGCTCTCAACCAATAGGCCAATTACAACACTTGTTAGATCTGTTACTCTTTTGATCATTAATTGAAACATTGTTGCGGCTAATGCAGGCAGATATGGCTGCTAAAATAACGGGGATGTTGTTGGAGATGGATAACTCCGAATTGCTATTGCTGTTGGAGTCGCCTGATGCACTTTCTGCAAAGGTGGAAGAAGCTATTCAAGTATTGAAACTCTCCAAAACCCAGGTGAGTGGTCGTGTGCCTCTTCACCCTAACAATTTCTTGCCTTCAGAGGTTTCCGTAAATTGAGAGGGATTCGTGATTCTGAAAATTACCATTCTTTACGAAGTTTCTTTGTTAGTCTTATGATTTTTGGGCGAGAGAGTTCTCCTCCATATGGATATAGACATATAGTTTTAGAATTTTCGCTTTGGTTTTTTCCTGATCAAATTTCTTTCTGGACTTTTTTTTTTGTTGGACCAATTATTTAGCGTTTTTACAAGTACCGTTGTAATTTGAGTTCGCTCTACACATATTTTCCTTAAATTGGAAGTTTAATTTCTTCTTCTTCAGCAGGCCGTATTAATTCTAACATTGCATTGCTTCTATTATTACGTTTGATTTTACGTAATTCGTGAATGAATTTATATAAGCTGTTAATGTGATATCTTTTAAAATCAACAAAATAATATTCACTTCTTTGATTTTTTTTTTTTTTTTTTTTAGATATTTACACAAAATATGCGTAAGCTTTGAATTCATAATCTCTTGATTAATAATTAAAACTCTCAACCAACTAATTGAGGTGAGAAAAAATATTCCTCCAAAGTTACAGTTGTGTGTGATGTGAAAACTCAGATGCATTATAATCTACCACCCTTTTCTAAATTTCTAAATTCAAAATTGTGGAAAAAAAAAAAAAACAATTCAAATTTCTGTATTGAAGCATGGACTGTTCAGATCCTCGATCGATGTCATTAATCGATAAAGCACGTATTGTGAGATCAGGAAGATCTCTTGTTCTCAAATGTGTAATCATAAACAAGTTAGAAGAAATCTAATTTGTTGGATTGATCATTAACATCATTTGAATACTTATTTTAGGATTTAAAATATGAGATGAATGTAATATCTTATTAACTAAATTAATAATAACTTATTAAGACATTTGAAGCGATAATTTTTATTAACTCAAATTAACTTATTATAACACTTAATTAAAGTTAATATTTGCAATTGATTAATATTTAGATTAATTTCTTTCTAATTTAAATGAATGAATACTATAAATTTTGATTTAAAATTATTTTATACTTCGTAATTAGATTAAATAAAATATATTTGTTATATATTAATATTTTAACTAACTATTAATTAGCTAAACATTAAACTTAAGAAACATTAAAATTTTTATTAAATAAAATTAAAGCAAAGATAATATTGATCCATTTAATAAAATTTTTAATTAGTTAATATTATTTATTAAAATTTAAAGTTACAAGCAAATATAATCAAATTAAATTTAAAGTTACAAGCAAATATACAATGCTTCATCCGAACTCCACTTGCCTCCCCTCCCGATGTTCCTTCCTTTTTTAATACACATCTCAAATGCACAAGCAATCATCATCCCAAAGAGTTGTAGACGGACCGAGCCAAGTCGAACTATGTCCTTGTTCATGTTATATGCAAATATAATCAAATTAAATTATAAAATATTAATGTTCAAGGCTTCCCCTGAACTCCCCATGCCTCCAGTCCCTATTTTCTTCCTTTTTTGATACATTGTCTCAAATACACAAGGAATCATCATCCCAAGTAGAGTTGTAGACAGACCAAGCCAAGCCAAGCATGTCTTTGTTCATGTTTGTGTTCGTTTAGTATCATCTTGTTCATGTTTGTTCGAACTCGATTTGATCTTTCCTATTTGTGTTCAAGTTTTATTTGTTAAGTTAATTGATATTCATTTTTGTGGCCTCATTTCATTTATATTAAGAAGTTTAATCCTGATCAAGTACATAAAATATTGCAATTAAATGGAACGAGGCTGCATATTAGATGCGGGACATTAGTCAGATTGATATATTTGATTTTAAATCTACTCTTGAACTTTATTTTTTGTTATTGTATTAATGCATCTTATGGACCAACTACTTTGTAAATGACCTTGTTCTTAAGTTCGTTGATTCTAGAATTTCTTATATGGACATCTTAATTGTCCTTTAAGATGGTTAGAACAAATGAGCATCACGATCATATTTATATCAACAACTTTGATATGTATGTTGTACTTGAACCTGTCACGTTTGAAGCACAAGTGCTAAGATCACCAATGATAAGTATCTTACTTAATCATTATTTTTATTATTTTATAATCAGTTTCAATTAATTTCTTAGAAGTGTTTTATTAAATTTAGCTAATGTATAGTGGTACAAAGAAGATATATTAACCACAATCTAGAAAATGGAAAATGGGTAATAAGGTGACAGATCATTAATTAATACATAAATTCTCCTACACCATTCTTAGCTGTTATAAAGTCTATTGATCTCTATATATAATTTTTTTTTATAATAATTTGATATCTTTAAATGTTCCTTATTTTGCTTTTGTAACAACTGCTTGTTGGTGCTACAATTGTGGATTGAGTATGCATAAACTTTTCTCATCTTAATAAGAATATTCTTTCGAATTTCTCATCACAAGCAAAATAAGAATTCATTTAAAGCTATGAAATTATTATAAATAAAAAAATTATATATAGAGATTGTTAAACTTTATAGTAGCTAAGAATGACGCAGGTGAATTTATGCATCAATTAATGACAATAGTCACCTTATTACACAATTTTCATTTTTCAAACCGGGGTTGATATGTTTTTTTTGGACCACTATACTTCAGTTAAATTTAAGAAAATACTTCAAAGAAATTAATTGAAACTGATCATAAAATAATAAAAATAATGACTAGACAAGTTACTTACCCTTGGTGATCATAACACTCGTGCTTCAAACCTAACAAATTCAAGTACAGCATATATTTCAAAGTTGTTAACATTGTTGCGTCCTGGAATATTCGCGGCGGTAGAGAAAT